CCATATCAGCGCTTGTTTGCCAAAGTACCGGACTACTCTTTTCTCTGAGTTTTCGGCTGTGTATGTTTTGTACTTCGACCGAAGAGAGAACGAAACAAATTGGAAGCCAAGACTGCTCGTTGTGTTTTTGTTGGTTACAGTTCTCGACATAAGGGATATTTATGCTATGATCCGCGAGAACGACGTATGCGTGTGTCTTGTCATGTGGTTTTCATGGAGCAGGTTATGTATTTTCCAGTTGGTGATCGTGATCTTGAACGCGAACTTGATTTTTTGAAGACTACCTCTCTGGCCACGTTTGATAATGGGGTGGCTCTGCCTATTGCGCCAGGTCCTGTCCATAATGGCGGTGATGATCATTTGCTTCCTTCCCCTCCACGTACTCCATCCGGCTCTCTCCACACGGCTAGTTCTTCCACTAGCTCTTCCGCTGGTTCCTCTTCGTCCTTAGGGGAGGAGAGAACTTCTCTTTCTATTGGAACTTTGAATTTGGGGGAGGAAAATAATTCCACTTCGTCCTCTCCTCATCTGGACTCAGGGGAGGATAATTCATCTTCCTCTTTCTCTAGTATGGACAACATGACACCTCCGCCACTACCAGCTCCTCGAAGGTCCCAACGCTCCACCCTTGGACAACCCCCTCTTAGGATGAATGATTATGTTGGTTTTTCAGTTGAACCAATTAGTATACCATCTCACTATCGGTTTGCGAAGGATGATCCTCGTTGGAATGCAGCTATGCCACCTGAGATAGATGCTTTAGAAGAAAATCATACGTGGGATATTGTTCCTCGTCCTCTGAATATCTCAGTAATTGGTAGCCGGTGGGTTTACACAATTAAGATGCATCCAGATGGTACTATTGAGCGGTTTAAGGCAAGGGTTGTGGCTCAAGGCTTTAGACAAGAGTATGGTATTGATTATGAAGAAACATTTGCTCCTGTTGTCAAAATGCAAACAGTTCGCAGTCTGTTTGCTGTTGCTGCTATGCGCTCTTGGGAGATTATTCAATTTGATGTCAAGAACGCCTTTTTACATGGCGATATCAAGGAGACCATCTACATGGAGTGTCCTGCGGGGTATGATAAAGGAGGTTTTTTAACGTGGTTTCGTCAATACGACACTAGTCCACGGAGAGGATCTCCCTCTCAGGTTTTAGGCTTTCTTATTCGTTAGTTTGTTCATACAGCATACAGAGATTTATATGGTTTGCTATCACAAACCCTAGATACAAATTACATATTGATACCCATACTTTCAACAAAAACGATGAAGATACTATTCCGACCAATGGGTCGGTCACCGGCTAGTGGTTTTATAAGCACATGCATTTTTGTGGCATGAGAAAAGTTACGATGGCCAGGGAGGCTCGAAACATGCTTGGCACGATGTATGTTTGTAATTTGTGGACTATTTTAACTCTTAATAAAAGGTTTCATCTTTATAAAAAAGGGTAAATAACATATTTTACCCTCTGCTATTGCATTTACTCAGATTTGCTCATCTACTATATTTCACATCAAAGTTGTCATTATATTATTAAAATTTATTTCAAATCCATTAGATTTTCCATCTAAAACCAAGGACCAGGAAACCGGATCGTACCGGCCGGTTCAACCGGAAAAACCGGGAACCAGACCAATAGCGATACGGTAGGCTGGTTAGTAGTAGAATATCGGACCGACTGGTTTTACCGGCTTAATCAGTACAGAACGAAAAATTGCCCGACTTTGGTCTGACTGCCGGTAGGCTTAAAGGAGGGGAAACGGCGCCATTTTGTACTTAAATTAAAAAAAAAAACAAATCAGCCAAAGGCCAGAGATGCAAAACCTAATTTGGGTCTTGGGAACCCTTTCGGTTCGACGGTCTTTCTTCCTCTCGTCGCATTTTTCTTCCCCAGCGTAGCCCCGCCTGCCGCTTCTCCTCTTTTTCTCTGGTTGTCCCGTATGGCGACTGCGTTTGGCGATTCGCGAACCGCGACGTTGAAAGCAAGGAGGCCCCCGGTGTCCCCCGCTCCGCCGCTCGCCAGAGATGCAAAACCTAATTTGGGTCTTGGGAACCCTTTCGGTTCGACGGTCTTTCTTCCTCTCGTCGCATTTTTCTTCTCTCGCTATTGGCCCTCGCTGCGCCGATCCCTACGTTGCGCCGCTCCTATAGCCTGAGATCCTTCCTTGTTTGAGGTGAGGTCTGGGTTTGGTCAAGGACGCCGCTGCTCGCCAAGTTCTCTCCTCCTCAGTCGCGCCGCTGCTCGACCTGCTCAAGAACGCGCGGCGTTGCTCGAGTCTCCCTCTTCTGCGGGTTGTTGCTCAAGAAGACAAAGAACGCGTCGGCCTTCTCAATAACACAAGTTCAAACTCAAGGTAAGGAACTGGTCGAGTCTCCCTCCCTTGTTTCATGCTTTTGACGGATTTTATTACACAATTCAGTTTTTTTTCTTCAATATTTGGTGGATGCGGGAAACGCAGTCGCTCCGAGCTTTAATGGGGAAGTGGTTTCTACCATCATTGATTGAGTAAACGGAATGGTATATACGGGAAACGCTCCATTGGGTCTCTGTTTATAGAGACCTCGATTTCACTCTATTCTTGATGGTGTAATTAGTCAATTGTTCAAAGGTTAATCTAACACAACATGTTTTGATCTTGATTAGAAGTATAATATCTTGTTATTTTCGAGTTGACAAGCAATCTAAAAGTGACGTTTGTGATATATGTAAATGTAAGCTCGTAAGTGGTCAATTATGCAATGGAGTTTATAACCTATTAGTTTGTTTAGGTTTGTTATCCGGTATATTCCGGTTTTATTTTGGTATTACTCTGAGACGGTATCTTGAATCTGTTGATACGGTTTTTTAACAAAAAAAATATTTAATTACAAAAACGATATTTTACCGATACATAAGGGTTGAACCACAGTTGTACCACAAAATACCCTACCACAGACGGATCCGATATGATGTCCGGTACGGTTTCCTTCTAAAACTGTTAAATTTGGTCAAACTATCCTTTGACTGACTTGAAATGACTAAATCACCCCTAATTATTTATAAAGAAAGAACGAAAGAAAGAAAGAACAAAAATTAAATTAAATTAACCCTAACGCTCGACTGCATTCAATGCCGATTGAGTTTTCTTTTTTCCTCATCATCCTCCTTGGATGTCTATGGCAGGGGAAGCTTCTCAAATGCATCGTCCTTTCTTACCATCCTCAAGAGCATTGGCTGCATCGTTCCTTACCTACCTGTTCAGGGAACCTCCCTCATCTCACAATCACAAACTATCGAGCTTCCCTGCTGCTCGTCAGCTACGCCCCAACTTCGAATGACAAACTTCTGTTCCGAAGCTTGTTCCTCGGGGAGTACAGAACTAGCTAGGGTTTGTCTGAAATTGGGGGGTTTACTGTCCCTGCTTGTGAGGCTTGCCGTATTTGACTGGAGGAGAGGAATTCGCCGAGGGACTAGAGCGGGACACGGTCGAATCTGTGTTTTGCAAGACCTTAGCGGTCTCCTCAAGTTTGGACTGGAATCGCTGGGATTCGTGATTCCTTAGGTGGATTCCATGATTTTTTCTTCTTCTTGATGCTCGAATCCATGAGTACTACCGGAATCGTTTCAAATGATTGAAATTAGCAAAATTAACTCAATGGTAAGTGATGGAGTTTGAGATTAGCTTAGTTTGGCCCTGTTGTAGCTTTTTCAGAAGCAGCTTCTGGTTGTAGCTTTTAGATAAGTACTTTTCAAAAAAAGCAGTCTAGTGTTTGGCTGTAAAACTATTAGAAGTGTTTTTTAATATGAGCGGTTGTGTAAAATAACTATAAAAGACTTATAATATAAAATATAAATAAAAATTCTAAACAATAAAAAGTAGTCAAAATGGATCTTGTTAGATTTCTTTATATTAAATAATATGATTTTATAATTTATCTTATTTTTAAAATGATATAAATGAAGGAAAATTATATTTTCTAAAATAAAATTAAAATATGGTAAGGATAATCTTGTATTTTCAAAACAGCTTTTCGCAAAAACTCCAAATCGGAGCTTCTGCTTTTATGTTATACAAAAGCGCTTTTCGGCTTTTCAAAAACCGAGTTTTTATAGGTGTTTGGCCTGCTTCAGCATTTGAAGCCGAAAAGCACTTCTAAAAGCCGGGCCAAACATAGACATTATTATATGGATGCTTTTGACGGTTTTAGTCGGCGTGCCGCCGACGAGAGGCGGTTTCTTTCATTTTTAAAATTTTATTGTTATTTTTTCTTATAAAAATAAAAATACAAAGGGTAGTTTGGTCATGCCAAACGGTTAATCACTGGTTTGACCGAATTTAATGGTTTTTGGATGAAAATTTTAGCACAATGGTATGTTTGAGAATTTATTATAGTAGATAGGCAATTTTGACGTGAATATAATAGAGGGGTAAGTTTGAGAAAATGTAATAGTAGAAGGGCAAATTATGTTATAAAAAAAAAGTTTGATTGATTTGTTTCCTAGAATCGCAATTCAATAACAACATATTCATGAGCTCTGATTCTTGGATCATAGTTACTTGCATCATCAACACTCACCTCTAGAGAGACGTTCTCTTCCTCGATTAGAACTATGGTGCGTTTGCACTCTTTTAAGTTCCCCAATTATTATACACATTTTAAGCCTTACGAAGATATATAAACAAGCGAAAAGAACGAAACTTGGATTAAAGAAAACGACTGAACAAATTCTCACTCTATTAATAGGAGTGACTAAAATAACATAAAGTTCTTGTTCAAAATATGATAATATTATCTTGTTAAATTTAAAAAAAGGGGTAGCGGGAGATTTGTTTTATTAACTTTTGATTTTCCAAAAAAGTAAGCTTATTTGCCGGAAATGTGAGTCATAGTCCGACTGAAGGATGACAGCAAAATAAGTAAACAACTTTTTAATCGTCCATACTTCTTATAAGCTTCTCCAGACTTTCACTTTTACAGAACATATACAACTAATTAATATTTTGCAACATTGATGCACTAATTTCCATTTATTATTCCGTAACATTTACAATCAGGATTCCAAGAACTTAGGATGGGGAACATGTAATTTGTATATTTGATACAATGTACACAAGAGGCTCCTCCTAAAGATTTATACAAATTTACATCCTCCATAAAGTTACAATGTACATTAGAATGAACGAATCGACTAATTATACATTTTAGTTTCCAATTACTGGTTAGTGGCCACGTTGATACAATATCTCTCCGCAAGCAAATGTAGAGAAATATTGGTGAACAATTCAATACTAATCACTAAATGAGTATCTTGGTCGATCTGTTGCATATCATCTGAACAAAGATTGAGAATGTCTGAGGAGTCTGGTGATAGACCTTGTTTCTTGGGCTCTACACAACAAATTCTTGACCCCTTCTGTCACCTGCAAATACTTATATGATTTATGTACACTTAATTAGTAAAATGAAAATTTAATCCAATAATTCAATTTGATTATAATGAAGTAAATTACGTAACTAATTTACCTTTCCAAAGCTTCCCCTGGCATAGGGAAGTGGCCTTTGGTAAGTGAGACTAATAGAGGTAGCAGATGGAGGTGATTTTCTGGGCGTGGGCACTGTTAGAGCATTATTACTACAATTACTGCTATTGTGGAATCTCTCATTTATCAGCTGGCTGCTTCTACTTCGAGTTACAACTGTGGAAGATCCCACCGGCCATTCTCGATGGGCGCCATGGCTCAACACGCTTGGCAGGCTTGATTCCTGCATGTAGTTAGTTAGTGAAGTAATTAGTCATGTAATTAGGCCAGGGTTAATCTTTATTCTTAATGATCAAAATTATATGGCTTTTCCTGTCCTATCAAATTGTAATTAACATGAAGTATCTTACCAAGAACAGGACTGTTGCACAATGTTTTAGGACCTCCAGATTCATTCTGACATCGTCGAGACTTCTGAAATATTTTATTTTGGATGAGTGCAGTTTAACAAATTAGTAAATTGATTAAAAATAATTCAAATAAAATTAAACTCATATGTGAATAGAATTTTGGTTATACAAATGTCAAATGTAATGTGTCAATTACCTGTGTTTTTGTTGACCAAGTCCAAAGTACTCCGCCAAGGTAGCCATCTGGATTCACATCAACTTCTCATTAGAAAGCATTTTTTTTTAGCAAGATTACAACTACATGTACTACTGAATAAGAGGGGAGGAAAGCTAAACAAGAAGCTCACACTCTTGAGATTACTCTAAATAGCATCTTGTTACAACCAAATCATAAATTATTATATGAATATATTTTTATCTATGATATGAATGTTGACGATCGGATGAAATGCATCTAACAATTGAATGTTGAAATTTTATCGATGTTATTTTAAATCCACATTTAAATAAACTTTTCATTGGTTCACTAATATAGTAATTCATGAATGATGGGTGCAATCAAATCAACATTAAAGCAACAAATTCTATAACTCTGGAGTCAAGCATGACGTTTTAGAGAAAGATTCATGGGAAACAAACTCTATAACAAATATTTATTCTTTAGGTTTCCAAGACGAATTTTGCTTAACCTACAAAACTTGTATGAAGAAATTGCCCATATGGACAAATTGGACTTGGCAAATTAGTTAGCCGGGCCACAATTGGCCCCAACTCAAACAATCCAACTAACTCAAACTGTAGCCCGTGGGCTCGAACCCAAAAATAAAAAGCCCATTTCGTTTTAGTAAGAAAAACAGACAAACCTTCATATTGCCGGCCCGGCGCCCAAACCGCTGCGTCAACACCCCCAGCGAGTCAATGCTCCCGACGGGCAGCGGCGCCGGCCGACCGATCTCGGCGAAGGCCTCCTTGATCCGTACCATATCGAACCTCTGGATGTTGTGGCCGGCCCATATCCTCCCGTTCAGCATCGCGTAAATCCTATCGGCTACTTGCTCGAACGTCGGCGCTCCAGCCACCGCCGCCCTCGTTATCCCCTCCGGCCGGCTGGACCGCACCGAAGCCGCCGACAGATCCGACGGCCTGATTAGCGTCGCGTAGCTCTCCAGCTCCACCAGCTTCCTCGGGCACACCACGATCGCCCCGAACTCCAGCACGTGGAACCGGCCGCCGCCACTGCCACACCGGCTGGGCACGTTGGTTTCGAGGTCGAAGAACACGATCTGGGGAGCGGACGAGGCGGCGACATTTCCTTCTTGATTCATTTCCAAATTGTTGGGGTTGTGCTTTGTTTTATTAAATTTTTTCCTGATGGGCTAAGGATTTGATCGATTTTGGATAGTTTTAACGATTTTGTAAGGGGGAGGGAATGGAGGTTATAAATAGGGGTTTCGCCGGTGCCGGCGGGAGCGGGAGGAGGGAGGGGGGAGATTGATTGTCTTGTAGTGCAAGTCATTGTTTGGGAGAGAGGGAAGTTAGGGAAACCGCAAACCCATGAAAATGGTTACGAGGAGGAGGAGGAGAGGTTTTCTTTAGCTTCTTGGACATGATTTGTAATCTACTCTTCTTTCAGAAAGGGATATTCGTATTAACAGACTGTCAGAGAGAAAGCTTAACGGTCAAGCACTCAAGGTTAACGGTTAAGCTTATGTTGTGTGAATGATTGCTTGAAATTCCATGCAGGGTCGAAGCCAGAATTTTTGTACCGGGGGGCCAAAATCAAATAATTGTACGCATTTCTTTATTTTGTAAAGATGAGCAAAAGTGATATATAAAACTTAAATTTTCATGGTAAGATTAAGAAATTTATTATAAATTTGTTAGCAAATTTATGTTATTTTCACATTTCAAAATGCATATTTGCTAATAAAACTAGATTTTGAATGAATCAAAACAAAGTAAGATATCTAGCAGTACAAATAATAAATACTAAACGAAACGAGATTCAAATTTAAAAGTGGATACTAAGATTTTTTTCAGAACTTTTCTCTAATATACATTAGATATTATATGAAAATTCTCTCTTTTAATTTTTATAAGGCAAAAAATAGAGTGAACTTTTCTCCAATATACATTAGATATTATATGGAAATTCTCTCTTTTAAATTTTAGAAGGCAAAAATAGAGTGAAATAATAAATATTTAATGCAAGTTCTCTTAAAATTTATACTTCCCTTTGTTTAAGGGAGACACAGCCTTTACCACTAGGCTACAATTAAACGATGATCCAATATGCCTACTCTTTATAATTTCCAAATTCTCGGGGGCATTATCCCCCCAAGCTCTACGCTGCCTCCGCCCCTGATTCCATGCCTTGGCACAAAAAATTGTTGGAAAGCTAGGTAGGATGGATATTTGGATATTTATATTCCACATATGTTAAGTACGAATCAGATTGAGCAATATTCCGTATGTTGAGTTTGAGTTTGGTTGAGAAATTATGATTTATGATTGAAAAAAATATCTTCAATTTTACATTAAAAAAAGAAGAAAAAAACATACTTTCTAAATTAATAAGATTGAGAATTTATCTGAAAACTAAAGGCTTGGATTAAGTAACTATGTTATTTTACCAAGGAAGAATAATGATATAATGATATGACTTATGAGAACGGTAAAAATTGAAATGAGCGTGTTATGAATTGAGCAAGACGAGACGAAAGTAAGAACCGAGCCCTCATGAAATAAATAATACCCACGAGTCAAACATATTGAATCACATAGATCAGATTGGAATTACCATTTCTATTAATATCATAACCAATACTGTCATATCTTAATAATTAAACTGATTGAAAATTGGCCAAGAACGCATGTTACATCCAAGAAAGCTAGAGAGGAAGACTTGGAAAGGAGGAACACGAAACGAGAGTTGGTTGGACGGCGGAGAGGAATCTTGAATGCTTAGGATTAGTTGGTTGGTTTTGTGGAAGGAACCGTGGGAAAGGTTCCAACTTTGATTAGAGCAAATCCCACCGTGTATGAACTTTTTGATTATGTTGGTCATGAGGGAAGTAAAGTTGGTTTTGGCGAGGATTGATCTGCGTTATTTATCTATTTGGCAAGTTTATGTTTACAAATTTTCTTCAAACCAATTTTGATGTCAAGGCCTCTACGTACATACCAGGATAAGGAGGTTTGAAGCATCAAACACGTATAGAAACTCGAGCTAGTACGGACGAAAACGTGCTTTCGCAAGCAAGGCAGAATACTTGTGCCGTTTTGCCAAATAAGGAAACCATCAGCTTACTATAAGCCACTAAACCAGACCAGTTCCTTTAGGGAGCAGTTTAACGGCAATAAGACACTCAGTACTGCAAATGTAATCTCTCGGTCTCGCATGTCGCGAGTAAGCTCTACCTCAGTTATGCAGCGAAACAACTCGTACCATTTTTTAAGACCTACAACGAGATTATATTACATTAAACAGTGGTTGAGTCCAAATGAATGGAAAATTTACAATTACACAGCTGCAATTAAACACAGACAAAGCCCCTCCGCCGATGACCAGTGGCTCGCAATAGTAGTAGTGGCACTATACTAGTATAAGAATGAGCAACCACCTTCCAACCGCAGCAGCACCTCTTACCCAAGGAAGGGAAGCTCGCATGTCAATAGGGCACATTCCCGTGTCTCCCCAGCAGTGGTGGTCAGGTCAGGTCAGAACAACAAAACAAACCGCCACAACAGTTAGCTAGTTAGAGTTCTCCCACCACTAAACCCAGTCTTGCTATGCGGCACCCTAAACAGACTTTATACACTGAAGCAGAACTTATACACACCAAGAATCAACAATCAAATCACTCGTTGCACTCAGCTACTACACCCCATTCCAGGATTCAAATCAACCACCTACAGGAAAAACTGGCAACAACAAATACTACAAACTACAACCTTGGAAAGTGTGTTCAAGTCCAACAAATTACTTGGAAACCCAGTCAGTCAAGAGGCAGGCAGCCTTCACTCATCAGTTAATCAAATAATGGACATCAATTTCAGATAGCCACACCACCAAAATATATATATCTTAAAGCTTCTGTAACATATACAACAGTCCAATTGGTTATTCTAAGAAGCGGAACTCAAACTCCCACCTAAATGCAACACAAAGTTCATCTAAATCAGGTTGATGATAAGAAGAGGGGATCGAGATAAACTCAAGGTAACAATCATCAGTTTTAACCATAGCAGCTGGATAGCTCTAAATGAAACTACAGTCTTAACTCTTAAGGTCAAAATGAGACATGACCAAAAGTATAGCCGCAACAAGGCATTTTTGCAGAATACAGCTTACATAAAAATAGAACATTGCGATTGACAATCGGTAGTCAAAGCTGAACTCCAACCAAATGCAATGACATAAAACTAAATCTGATTTATATGATTTATCAAACTTAGATCATAGAAAAACAGCTACCACAAAGTCAAAGACTTGGAAACTCATAATAGCGTAACACATCAGACCATCAATTTGACCATAACAAGCGAATGGCCTAAACAGAGCAATTGTTATGATATCAAACAAATAAAGCAATACAAAATTTAAAAAATATAAAAAAAAACATATAGCCAACAATTCTCCACTAACGAAAATTTAGATTCCTCAATCACATAACGTTCTAGCCACAATGACAGTGTCGAGTACCAAATAACAGCCAAGGCGGAAAAGAAAAACAGAGGGCCTCTTCATAAACTAGATCTATCAGAACATATATTCCAGCACAGCAACAAGGAACTTCTATAGTTCTTCTCATGAAGTACAGATCTAGATCATGGAACGGGATGGAGTGAAGCAGCAACAAAAGAGCACAGAGCAGTCCACAACAACAAACCAAAGATTTCAGTGTCTGCATTCACGAGATATCACGACAACCATTTAAAGCATTGTGCCCAAGAAGCTGTCACACACCTGAACCAAAAACCTATCAGAACATAAAACAAGTCAAACATCAAAGAAGTTTACCAACCATTGAAAAAGACAGTGAAAGTAGATAGCAGACAGCTAGAACAAAGACCTCAACTATGCAGCCAATAATATATACCAAAGACCTTAGATTTAAAGAGACCAATCACTTAAATCATACTATTTCCAACAAAAGAATGGAATGGCCATAGTCATTAGGGATGAATTCATGTCGGCCTGCCGATTTGGAAAATACCTAACAGGTTGAACCTACCAATCAAGAGGTGTAAACTCAACACCTAGACTCAATAACAGAACTGGTGGTAGAAATACACAAATAATACAGAATAAGTCATCCTTGATAGCATGGTTGCAACAAAATACCAGGGCAATAAAGATAACAACCAGCAAACCCAACAAAAACAGACAATTACCTCAGTAGTAAGGTGGGCCACCAGGATACATCCCCCCTGGTGGAAGTCTAGGCGGCATTGATGGCGGCTGGTGTGGCTGAGTCATACCATAAGGCCCGCTATCTGGATAACCAGCAGAGCTTGGAGGAGGTCTGAACATAGAGCCCCCTGCAGTATTCATTCCATACTCACCCACAGCAGGTCCCCCGTATTGGGAAACTCCGTACTGACCACCATAGCCACCATTACCCATTGCTCCTGGCATAGACGAATTCATCCCATAGTTATTGCTGTTCCCTCCACCAGAATAACCTCCATATGGTGGCATCGTGCCAGAGCCATAAGGCGGTTGTTGTAGTTGTTGCATCGAGGGCTGCTGTAGGTTTGGTTGCATCTGTGAATTGTCTGCTCCATGAGGTTTACCTTTCTTATTATCAGCAGCCAGTTTGCAAATAACTTGAAAACCATTAATGTTCTTGGTTGGTTCAGCAATAGCAGCCCGAGCACCTTCCTCGGTCTTATATATCATAAAAGCAAACCCCTTGGTCTTCCCAGATGACTTATCAAACCCTAAAGGCCCCTCCTCAATCTCTCCATACATTGAGAAGAATGCTAACAACTTTTCTGAAGGTATATCGTAAGGCACATTACCTACATAGATCTTCCTCAAAGAAACATCGACACCACCTCCGGAGTTAGATTGCCCAGCAGAGGCCAGCTGCGTGACCGTCATTCTCCCATCAATCTTCTTGCTGGGGTCTTTCAACGCCATCCGAGCACCATCGATGTGCTTGAAAGTAATGAATCCGTAACCCTTAGATTTACCAGTGTTCTTGTCCAAGATGACAATAGCCTCCTCGAGCTCGCCGTAGGTGGAGAAGAGGGTGCGGAGGGTCTCGGATGTGGTCTCCGCAGAGAGGCCCCTGATGAAGAGCTTGCGAAGAGTGACGTCACTGTCGGCCACGGAACGGATGGCATCGAGGACGTCGGAGTGGTGAACGGCGGCCTGTTGGAGGATGTCGAGGAGCTGGTCCTTGGTGAAAGGCTCGATGATTTTCCTGATGTCTTCTAGGGTTAAGCTAGCGGCTGCGGCAGTGGCGTTCGCGACGACATTTCCCGGCGAGGATGGAACATCGAATTCGTCGACTTTCCGTTTCTTAGAGAAATCCATAGCGATTGCCGTAACGATAACTACAAGCTGAGAATCTGAGCTATGAAATGTGAAACCCTAGCTAGCAGCAGCCAGTTTCGATTGGAGGTGGAGAAGGAAAGCCAGGGTTTATAAAGCCAAGACGCAATCTGATCTGGTATCGGTGTGTCAATCGGGTCGGGCTCGGCGTCCTGCGATAAGTCGGTTTATGACTCCAAATAAAGCCGCACGCCAAATTACTAAATGGTTCCACTATTTCTTGGCAGCCTACACTAAACACTTCGATTTTGTTTTTCGCAAAATACACTTCCATCCCTACAATTTTCACGTTTATTATAGTTATAACCAAAAAGTTTCGAAACACAAGAAATGACCAACTATTTTTACGGTTGTTTGACAAATCCAATTATTTTCATTGCAAACTTTTGAAATACGCAAAGCAGTCGCGACCATGTCCTCGATTTATTCTGAGGACTGTGTTTCAGAGGAAAGGCGATGAATCGCGCCAATTGATTGTGACGAATCAGACTTCTTATTTGCAGCCACTGTCGAGCTTCTTCCCATCCCAACAGTCTTCTTGCCATCTTTCTCATCATATTTCTGCGACTCCACCAAGTGTTGACACCTAAAATTATCGAGTTTTTTCTACCACAATGAAATAAAATTATAGAGTTTCCATAGCGAAACATCAAGCTCCCAAGACCTTCTTCTCCAGTCTAGTGATTGGGGATCTGAATCAGAGCTTTGGGTAATAAGGCTCTCTTCTACTGTTATATTGTTAAGTGACACTGTTAAAAAGATACACAGAAGCGACTGCTATAACCATCACAAACGTGAAAGTTGTGGCCAAGGAAGTGTATTTTGGTTTTTTTTTTTGTTAATTCACATGGATTGTTGGGGACGAAATATCGTCAACTCAAAAGTTTTGCCGGTCCAGTCATATTATTAAGTGACACCATTAAAGGGTTGGGCGAAAGTGGTTATTTTGGATATTTCAAAAGTTTCGGCTATAAATGTTACAAATGTGAAAGTTGTGGCTATCAAAGTGTATGTTGCCTTTTTTATAGCATTCAACACACGGCTAGAGAGATCCAATTGTCGGGACCTGGTGGGCTCTAGGCTGCAAATGAGCCAAGGCAAATTGAGTTTTGATTTATATTGGACTCTACTTATTAATAAACAAATTCGGTTCATTTACTGAAAACCTGGTTGTTGTTTTAATCAGACTTGATTTATTTATTGAAAACTTGACTAGTGTTTGAGTCGAGCTCAACTTGTCAATCATGGGACAAGTTATTGTGCCCACCTTATAGTGGTAGTCACTATAACAACCAAGAACAAATTGGATATGAATAATAAACATTTATCAGTTGGAATGGCATAGAGGCAAGTTTGAGGCGGACATTAGTGAATTTGTGCTCTACCCCGGCCCATAGGCCAATAATCCTCCCGACCCGTGCCACGGGACGGGTAGCCATTTTCTGACCATTCTTTACCCCGGCCAGGGCGGGTAATACTTGCTTTGACCTATATATGTTTGGTAACACGGATTGTAAAGTTGTACCCATGATCATTCAAACAAAAGTTCTTCAAATAAACGGGTTAATTGCATGATTTGTCACTGAGATCATATTACAAAAAACGTTCATGTTTGGTCACTGAAAATATTTAAATCCAATCTTGGTCACTCAAATTAGTTAATTGGTTCAAGTTTGGTCACTCTCCGTCCAACTCCGTTAAATATGTCTCATGTGGCAGTCAACCCTCAAAGTTGACTGTTAACTCGGTGATGTGGCAATTAAAAAATTATAAATAAAATAAATTTGAATCTTCTACCATTTCCAACTCATTTTCACAATAAAGTAAAATAAAAAAATAATTTTTTTATTATAATCACAAATTGAAAAATGGCTTCTGGGTTCCCCGGCGGAGGAGGAATCGGCGGCGGATCAGAGAATCACCATTGCATTCACGTTCTAGTGAACCATCATCAGTGGAGACGCCTCGAGTGCAAGTCTCTCTTGATTTAGGCCCGCTTACATGTCTCATTTCGGGTTTCAATTTCGTGTTCCTTCACCTGTACAGCGTCATCCTTGCTGGCTCCAGATCGTGCTCGCTCAGCTCCAGGCTCGCCCCGATCTCGTCGATCACCGCCTTCCCGCCCGTGTGAATACAGAAGTGCTCCACCCCTGTTTTGAAATTAATCACCGGTGGCTTCCCCCTCTTCGCCCCAGATTCGGCCGCGAGGGTCTTCAATTTCCTTATCGAGTACACCGCCACGAACCGGACCAGCTCCCTGACCGGCAGGATTTTGGGGGAGATTTCTCTGAGATTGTCGACGAACGCCCGGGTTGCAGCTTTTGGCAGATTCTTCGCCAGGTGGAACCCGAGCCTCCCCTGTTCGTCCTCCTTCTGGATACAACACCCGTACGAATCGTCCTTCCCGCCGTGGTGTGTGCGGACCAGGGTCTTGAGCTTGAAGTGCAGCAGTGCCTCAAGGACCGCTTGTTGGTGAGCAGAATCGCGCACCCACCCGATCAGAAGAGGCAATTGGCGAGAATCATGGATCTGTCGTTGCCTGCGTACCAATTGGGGCTGAGCGACTCGGAAGTGACGACGAGGGTGACCTTGTTTTTTTGTGCACGAAAGGTGTTCGACACAATGCCTACGGAGATCAAGCTGGCGCTGCAGCCCATACCGGTGAGATTGAACATCCTGACGTTGTCCCGCATCTTGTAGTGGTTGACGATGCGGGAGGTGAGGGAAGGGACGGCGGCGAGCATCGAGACGTTGACGACGAGGAGGTCGATTTCGTCCGGCTTAATGCCGGAGCGGGCGAGGAGCTTGCCGATGGTGTCGTGGAAGAACTCGTCCATCTCGAGGAGGCCGTCGCGGAGGGTGGGGTTCTCCTCATGGCCCTCGAAGACCATGCGCGGGGCGTAAGTCTCCTCGCCAATGCCGGAGGAGACCATAGCCTTGAGGAGGAACTTGTACTCGACGAGGCCGAGGTTCTTGTTGCGCTTGATGACGTCGCCGCAGAACTCGGTGTCGAGCTTGCGGTCGTCGGTGGGCTTGTGGCGTCTCCACTGATGATGGTTCACTAGAACGTGAATGCAATGGTGATTCTCTGAACCGCCGCCGATTCCTCCTCTGCCAGGGAACCCAGAAGCCATTTTTTATCCTCTTTTTTTTCTCTCTGTTTCCGGAGGGGATTGCGGGAAGGGATGCGGTGGCGGAGGAGGAAGCTACTCTTTCAATTTGTGATTACAATAATTTATTATTATTATTTTTATTTTACTTTATAGTGAAAATGAATTGGAAATGGTAGAAGATTAAAATTTATTTTATTTATTATTTTTTAATTGCCACGTCACCGAGTTAACGGTCAACTTTGAGGGTTGACTGCCACATCAGACATATTTAACGGAGTTGGACGGAGAGTGACCAAACTTGAACCATTTAACTAATTTGAGTGGCCAAAATTGAATTTAAATATTTTCAATGACCAAACATGAACGTTTTTTGTAATCTCAGTGACAACTATGCAATTAACCCTCAAATAAACTCATAAACTGAAGCCAAATTCTAAACCGCTCAAATGTTAAAATCAAGCAATAAAGTTCTAGAATTTATAAAATAAAATATAAAAACCAAATTCTGAACCACAACAATACTCCATGCAGCAGCCTCACTCATACTTACAAGCCTTCTCTAGCCTCTAGAACATTGTCTCCTCTCTTATAACTTTGAGCACAGGTTACTTGCAACTGTATGTAGACATAAACCATTAAAATGGTTAGTGTCGTCACTGTTACCAAAACTAACCAACCACCAACCGTACGTTCTTAATACAGAAACAAACCAAACCCTCTGCTTCAAATTGAAAAGGAAAATATATTGGAATCATTGTCTGTCTCCATTATAATCTTGTTGTATGGTACCAAGTGAGCCCTTTTCTACACTAGAACTAACTATTTCTAATATAAACAAGTTAGAAACACTCATGATTTTTATGTATAAACATTTGGAATTAGGATAGGATAACCTTGGGAACTAGCACACAACCAATTTTGAGCAAACAACCAGCCTTGTGCAGTATGTATCTTGATGTAGCCTACTTCGATGAGAAGAAATCACCCTCCCACTAGTACTAAAGACAAACTCTGAGGCCGTATAGAGACAAGAATAGTCAAAATATCTCTCGCAACCTTATGTAATATATATATATATAGGGCTAATACCACTACAACACCCAAACTATCGCGAAAATGCCACTTGTGTCCTATTGTTTCCAATATTCCATTTGTGTCTTGAACTATGATTCCGTTAGTGTTGACTTTTGTTGACCTTTAGTTTTTAACAGAAAATCTAGTCAGCACTGATGTGGCATCTTACGTGGAATTTTAATTCATTTAATAAAAAAATTAAAATAAAAAACAATAAAATTAAACAATCTTTTTTTTTTTGCCAAATATAAAATTAAACAATCTTACTAAAACAGAATTATAAAACACCAACAATAAAAATAAAAAACTTCATCTCCCTCTCTGCTCTCCCCCCGCCGGCCAGATCTGTAGCGCAACCATGGTGGAGCAGAGGAGGGGATGAGGTAGGTTCCGGGTTGCTTGCTTGTCGGCAGGGAAGCTGGAGGGTCGAGTTCCAGTCGCCAACCGCCTGCCTCTCAGTTTCCAGCCACAAGACAAGATCTCTTCTTTGCAAGCACCTCTCTCTTCCAAATCTGTAGCGACGCCGCATCTCAAAATTTTGAAATCTGGGAATACTAGCGGCGAAGGCTTGACAGTCGAAATCCCAGATTGACGAATCCGTTGTCTGCTCTCTGCCAATGACCTATGGATGTGTAGCCTTTTCCTTGGCCATGATCTATAGTCCGCTGACTCGCTACCCACCACTAGAGGTCGATCCGGCGAACTCCATCACGGATCCGAAGCGATAGGGCGGTGACTTGTTTGTTGGTTGCAGGGGAATGATGGATGGGTTTGAGTAGGCCAGAAATCTTTGCAGGCGGAGAGGAAGCGAGGAAGGGAAGGAATAGGGGCGAAAGAGTGATCGATTTTTTTGCTGGTGGCGTGTTAGAGCTTTTGCTGCTCGCGTGTTTTCCTTTACTTTGTAATTTTCTATCGGAGAGTGGAGACCGGTGAATCTGAGAG